CAGGAGAGGAACTCCAGCCTGGACCAGGAGGAACCAGAACCTCCACAGATCAAAGTAGAAGAGGAGGAACCAGAACCTCCACAGATCAAAGTAGAAGAGGAGGAACCAGAACCTCCACAGATCAAAGTAGAAGAGGAGGAACCAGAACCTCCACAGATCAAAGTAGAAGAGGAGGAACCAGAACCTCCACAGATCAAAGTAGAAGAGGAGGAACCAGAACCTCCGCAGTTTGAGGAACCAGAACCTCCACAGTTTGAGGAACCAGAACCTCCACAGTTTGAGGACCAGGAGGAACCAGAACCTCCACAGTTTGAGGACCAGGAGGAACCAGAACCTCCACAGTTTGAGGACCAGGAGGAATCAGAACCTCCACAGTTTGAGGACCAGGAGGAACCAGCACCTCCACAGTTTGAGGATCAGGAGGAACTAGAACCTCCACAGTTTGAGGATCAGGAGGAACAAGAACCTCCACTGTTTGAGGACCAGGAGGAACCAGAACCTCCACAGATCAAAGTAGAGGATGAGGAGCTCTGCACCAATCAGGAGGAAGATCAGCTCCACCCGAAGCAGGAGACTGATCCGGTCCTGGTGACAGTTTTATATGAAGAAAGTCAACCAGAACCAGACAAGGAGCAGCTCATCTCTCAGAGTTCTGCCGGACCTGAGGACCAGGATCAGGATTCGGGGTCAGACGAGAAGATGGATCACACAGAGGGTCATTATGGTAACCATGCAGGCCAATCAGCAACATCTGAGAGGTTGTTTTCTTGTCTAATCTGTGGAGAAACTTTTTTCAACAAATTATTACATTACCGTCATGTGAAAGTTCACAGAGTCTGGAACCAAAACTCTTATAAACTAATGTATTGTTGTCCCACCTGTGGGAAAAAGATCTTTGCTTATAGTCACTTAGTCATTCACATGAGGGTCCACACAGGTGAAAAACCATTTTCTTGTAAAATCTGTAGAAAAGGTTTTAGTCGAATTTCAAACCTTAAAGATCACATGATGATCCACACAGGAGAGAAGAAGCCTTTTTCTTGTGAAACTTGTGGGAAACGTTTTTACAGAAATACCAGTCTTCAAAGTCACATGAAAGTTCACAGAGACTGAGCTGATGTTCTTCTGTCACAGGTGGAGAAACGTTTCACCAAATGATCTAGAAGAGGTTTTACAGCCAGGAGAAGAATGAAACGTTCAGAATGTGGAGAAAAGTTAGAAAATCTTAAATCTTGTTCGTGTTTGAAGCAGGGCTGGGCCATAAAACAATAATTATACGTATATCAGGATAAAGACATGATGAATATGAATATAAAATGTTTCTGATAGAGCGTGGATAATTGAAGTTCCATAAGCTTCCAGAATTGATTCAATGAAACTCTCTATCTTGAAACATTTTTCAGCCATATGGCCCGGCCCTAGTTTGAAGAAGAGTTGCTTCCAGCAAACCTTGTTTGTTGCCCTTTATTTTACTTTGATTCAAGTTGAAACTGAGAAATGATCAGTTCTTTACTCATCAAACTTGTTCAGTTTTCACTTGTTCTGAACTTGGTAATCTTTGACATTTCCTGTTATTGTTTTCAAAATGAAAAAATAAGTAGGTCCTCTGGATGGGTTCTTCTTTAGTGAAACGTTTCGTCTCTCCTCCAAGAGACTTCATCACTTATGAGTTTCAGGTGAAACTCAGCCTTATAAGCCCTGCCTCCACCTGGACTAACAGGTTAGTCAAATGCAAAATAGGGCCATCGACTAACAATAGGCTTGGTTGGCTCTATTGTTCATAGAGGGTCATGTGCCCCATCACCTGACCCGTGTCGTGTTATGTGAATGTAGTGAATGCAAGCGGGGGTTCAACATCCCCTTGTTTTTGTCYCTCCCTCCCTCTTTGTGTTGGTATCATTGGGGCCTTGATTCACACCTTTTGCTAACAGGGAGCTGAGTCATACTTACAATGACAGCACTGTAGGCGGAAGACAAATGGACACGAAGGCCTCCACCTCTGTTTAATGGTGGATGTTTTTCTTCACAAAGATGGCTTCCTTTACTCCTCTCTCAAACCAACGYTCCTCTCTATCAAGGATGAGAACATCTTCATCCCTGAAAGAGTGACCGCTGGCCTGTAAATGAGTGTAACTGCAGAGTCCTGACCCGACGATATAGCTCGTCTGTGCTGGCTCATTCTTTTGAACAGTGGCTGTTTTGTTTCCCCAATGTACAGTATAATTGATCACAGTCTTACTGACACTTAACAGCATATACTATATTACTCTGTTTTTGCCGGGGAACTGGATCTTTGGGGTGAACTAATCTTTGTCGTAACGTGTTTTGGGGTTTGAAAGCCACTGGGACGTCATGTTTAGAGAATAAACATCTCAGTTTCTCTGAAACTCCCACCACATACAGAATGATGACTGGTTTGGGTCTGGGTTTAGAGTCTTCATTTTCAGCTGGTTGTTGGCTGGAATCCTGTTTGGGTTTCTTGTCTGCTTTCAGAAAAGCCCAGTTATGATAATTGCAGGATAACCGCACTGCTCCAGAGCCTGTCTTGTGTCACTGTAAAGGACATTTACAGCGACACCACCGAGCCATTGGTTCAGGTATGTTGATGACACCTGGGTTAAAATTAAATCCCAGGAAGTCCAACATTTCACTGATCACATCAACTCTGTGGATAAATATATTAAGTTCACACGAGAGGATGTAAAAGATGGCAGGTTGACGTTCCTGGACTGTGATGTCTCAGTTTTGGATGGAGGACGGTTGGAAACTGACGTGTATCGCAAACCCACCCATACAGACCAATATTTGCATTTTGACTCCCACCACCCACTGGAACACAAGTTAGGAGTCATCAGAACTCTGTACCACAGAGCAGACAGTGTCCCCACTAACACAGGAGCCAGAGAGAAAGAGGAGTCACACACAAACAGACTCTGGAGCAGTGCGGTTATCCTAACTGGGCTTTTCTGAAAGCAGACAAGAAACTCAAACAGGATTCCAGCCAACAACCAGCTGAAAATGAAGACTCTAAACCCAGACCCAAACCAGTTGTCATTCTGTATGTGGCGGGAGTTTCAGAGAAACTGAGACATTTATTCTCTAAACATGACGTCCCAGTGGCTTTCAATCCCCAAAACACGTTACGACAAAGATTAGTTCACCCCAAAGATCCAGTTCCCTGGCAAAAACAGAGTAATAAAGTATATGCTGTTAAGTGTCAGGAAGACTGTGATCAATTATACATCGGGGAAACAAAACAGCCACTGTTCAAAAGAATGAGCCAGCACAGATGAGCTATGTCGTCGGGTCAGGACTCTGCAGTTTACACTCATCTACAGGCCAGTGGTCACTCTTTCAGAGATGAAGATGTTCTCATCCTTGATAGAGAGGAACGTTGGTTTGAGAGGAGTAAAGGAAGCCATSTTTGTGAAGAAAAACCATCCACCATTAAACAGAGGTGGAGGCCTGCATGTCCAGTTGTCCTCCTCCTACAACGCTGTTATTGCAAGTATGACCCAGCCCCCTGTGAGCAAAAGGTGTGAATCAGGGCCCCAATGATACCAACACAAAGAGGGAGGGAGGGACAAAATCAAGGGGATGTTGAACCCCCGCTTGCATTCACTACATTCACATAACGATACGGGTCAGGTGATGGGGCACATGACCCTCTATGAACAATAGAGCCAGTCAAGCCTATTGTTAGTCGATGGCCATATTTTGCATTTGACTAAACTGTTTGTCCAGGTGGAGGCAGTGCTTATAAGGCTGAGTTTCACCTGAAACTCATCCGACTGAAGAAGTCTCTTGGAGGAGAGACGAAACGTTTCACTAAAGAAGAATACATCCAGAGGACCTACTTATTTTTTCTTTTCGATTTTTTTCTACCTGGATTACTGAGATGCATCAGAACATTGTTTAAATTTTGGTTTTTATAAAAGTGTTTTATTAAACAGTTTATGTTTTTGTCAAACTGAAGATTCAGTCAGAAACCGAACATGTTCGTTAATGTTGATTTAAGAGTTTAAAAAAGTAGACTTTATAAAGGCTGCAGGTTCTGAACGTTTCATGACAGATCTGTTTTTTTGTGGCCGCTTTATTTTTTGTTATTATATACAGATACAGTTAATCACAATGTTCTCCTCTTCAATTTATCAAACTTTAATTTCTCATCTAAGACCCTTTCTTGGTTTGCATCATAWCTGTGGAGAAATCATGAYTTTGCAAACTTTGGACAGAACCAACAAGGTCAGGCTGCAGAGTCTGAACAAAGGATCAAATGGTGCCTGGTGCTGAATCTGCGTCGAGCTGCAGCACAGAGTTAAAGGTCACGCTGCTGCAAGCTGGAGTGTAACCACAAACTCTCCTTTCCAGATCTTTCTACTCCACTCTCAGCCTTGCTGAAAGAACCTTCGCCAGGCCATAAATCCTATACTGTCACCTTCCCCCTCTTAGACCAGAACACTGATGCAACCAGTTGAAACCAGAATCTTCTCTTCACACAAAGGAAAAGAGGAGGAGAATAAACTTATGTTTAAATGAATATGCATAATGACGAGAGTTTATAAAAATCACAGGCACAACCATAACGGCAAAACTTCTTGGAGCATTCTGACTAAATACAACCCTCTGTAGGGCATCTTTGTCTGTAATTGTAGATTTTTTATTTTTCTTTTTATTATTAAAATCCACAAAACCACATCTCTGGTCCCTGGTGTGAATCTGAGTCCTTGGTGAGTTCATTTTTCTGTATTATCTGCTGGTTATATTTATAAGGTCTTAAAAAGCACACTTGCCTTGAGTCCAGCAGGGTGTTAGGTCACCCCCCCCGCCTATGGATCCATAAGTCTTCGTCAGGAAGGAGCGTGGGTGATAACAGAAGAATGAGAAGAAAAGAAGATCCTTAGGTGAAAGATGATAATTTTATACTTGAGACATTCGTGAGTCTGTGCCCTGGGTAATAAATTAATTATCTTCATTTATTCTCAAATAAAACAGGCCGTAATAGCAAGTGAAAATCCTACTAGTCTAATAGAAAACGTTAGACCAGAGTCAGTAGGTGGGTTTCAGCTGGCTTGAATATCCTCAGAAAGACTGTTTTATGTCAGGAAAGAAATCCTGAAAATTAGCTGGATTAATCTAATATTATTCAGGAAAGAAATCCTGAATAATAGCTGGATTAATCTAATATTAATTAGATTTATGACAGAAGGACTCAAGCCCTCGCTAGCTCAACAATATCTATGCAACAGAATGTAATGTGTTAAAATCAAAGATGTACATTCCAGTTTCCTAGAATGCACAATGGGTGTACCACAAGGATCTGTTCTTGGACCCCTGCTTTTTAGTCTTTACATCAATGACCTTCCAAAGTTTTGTCATGATGTAGAAGTTCAGTTATAAATGGACGACACTGTTCTGTACACATATGCTAAAACGGTTCAACTTGMGGCTGAGAAATTAACCAAAGCTCTGGAGGGAGTGGTTGATTGGTTAAATAAATCTGTGACGTGTCATGTGGAACCTGAGCCGAGAAAAGACGTGCAGTTCCAGTTGACCCACACTTTGATAAAAGTAAAAGTAGTAGTAACATACTAATCTTTCCTCCTTTCCTTGTTCTTAATTTGCCTAAACTTAAGCTAAAAGTGCCAGTAAAATTGTTTGGTTGTGAACATCAGAACTGACATATTTACTGTTCTATATAAGTAATCTGAGTTGATGTGAATTGAAATTCGGACACGGGTTTTATCTCATTTAACTCTGACGCTTGTTAAAGGAATAAACACAATCAAGTGTAACTTATGATCTGTTCAATTTGTGTAAATAAATGATTGTGTCGTGGCAAGTTTATCAAGAATGCAGAAACACGTTGGAATAAATGCACAGAAAGTCTGCATGTATGGTCGTCAAATGATTTAATTCTTGAGCAACAAACACACAGAAGTCAATCAGGAAGTCTGTCGGGTTTCTGCCTGCTTARTCAGCAGAAACAGCCAATAATATAMCATCATGTTAACACCATGTGACAGTTTACAACCAATCACAATCCGACAAATATAACTGCCTAGCCAATTACAGGGCTCTCCGCCCAAAGAGTTAACTTATCAAACAAGAGAGATCAATCCATTGCTGGAGTCCTGACGCCTGGGACAAACAGATTAAGAGCCGAAATAAGTTATGAAAAGTCATGAAAATCCCTCCTCTATATACAGTGTATGTATGTATATATATATATATAACAGGAATAAGCTTAAAGACAAAGAGAACATCATTACACATCAGAAAAAATCGATGAAGATCAAAAACATGTCAAAATTTTAAAAACTTAAAAGTCCAAACTTAGACAAGGTAACACAACACAAGTGCTGCCTCCCAGYGAATTTGATTGCGTTAGCCGCCTATGTTCCATCAGAATCTTATCTTGGATACTGTGTTAACTTAATAACAAGTTGTCAATAAATGAAACTTAAGTAAAGCAAATTAGGACAAGGCAGATCAAAGAAGATGCCAATAGCCATTTACTTCTAAGTTAACAGATTTAGACAAGTTAAACAATTTATAAATGGAGATCACAAACTTCAATGAACCTGAGAATAATTGAAGAAATAAAGTTATTAAAATCAGTTAAAATGACCAACC